GTAACCCATGATTTTTCAACCAACAAATCTTCCCACATTTTATTTTTCTTTTGAGGAACAATTGTAGGTAAGCCACTAAAATCCAAAGAAAAGATCCTGTATTATTATTCTGGACATCTCTCCCCAAACCAACTTGTGGCCCTGCAGAAAAATTATTTGCATTTTCTATGTTGCACTAAATACTATTTATCTTTTTAAACAATTCATATTAGTGGTCCGTGGGATTTAAAATTGTGAATTTAGTGGTTCCTGAGGCCCGAAAGGTTGGTGACTCCTGCCCCAAGCCCTCCAGATAATTTGGACTACCATACCCATCTTCCCCAGTCCATACACTGCATACTGGGTGGATGGGAGATATAGTCCATCACTTCTGTAAAGGGAAGATAATCTTTTTTTTAAAAAAAATCCTCTTAAGTCTTTTTCAATCTTGGCCACTGGAAGAAGGGTGGACTTCAACTCCCAGAATTCTCCAGCCAGCCTGGGAGTTTAAATTCAGACAACTTCCAATGGCCAAGATTGAGAATCACTGCTTTAGAGAAAGCATGAAAGAGAGAATTTAACAAGAGAGGAATTAATCCTAGGCTGGGAAAAAGAGGGAGAACAATTGGAAAGTTTCTTGAGATAACTTCCCAAAACATCCATCCACCCACCCTCTCAATTCTCAAATTTGAAATAATCTTCTGCAAGGGGAACTGGACTCCTGGGGCACAACATCCTTGTTGGTTTCTTAGCAACAGTACAAATATGGTTTGCCCCCCTCTTTCCCAAGGTTTTCCAACTTCCCAGTGCAGCTAAACCACGTTCAGATCTCTTGGTGGTCTCCCATCCGAACATTAAACAGACCCGATCTTGCTTATCCTCTTGCGGGGACCAGCCAAGGTTAGCTAGATGGACACCTAGATATGGACTCTTTCTATTCTTTGCCCCAAACCATTGCTTGATTATCTGCAGTCTGTTGGATAAACCGCCATTGGTTAAATTGTCACGACTGCGTTATAAACTGAGATTTAGGAATCCTGGTCATTGGGATTATACTGCACACCAGATTTCCAAAGAGACAGTCTTCAGGCCTTGCCTTGAGTAACATAAGAACCCAGTTACCCCAACTATCCTGGCCTACATCCATAACGGATAAGAAGATAGAACCGTAGTTCCTAACATCCAGGAATTTTGAATTGGAAAGAACATGTTTTATGGAGAAAGGTTACATTTTGCCTACCCCAATCCTGGAATCTCTCCTCCCTCATTTTTCTTTAAAGAGAGGGGGGGCAGAAACATGAAAAGGAATAAACAGAGGGAAAAAAAGGATATTTAAGCTTGGGGATGAAATGTTTGAAGGACTTTACTCCAATGCAAAGTTTGAGAAAATCAACCATATAAGCGGCCTTCCCCCTGGACATAAAGAGGAAGGGAGAGAGGAAAGAGGAAGGAAGGAAGGATGGAAGAAAGAAAAAGAAAGAAGGAAAGAGAAGGAAAGAAGGGATGGAAGACAGGAAGGAAGGGAGAGAAAGAAGAAAAGAAGAAAGCCAGGAAGGAAGGAAGGAAGAGAAAGAAGGGATGGGACAAGAAGAAAGGGAGAGAAAGAAGAAAAGAGGAAAGAAGGAAAGGAAGGAGGGAGGAAAGAAAGAAGAAAGAAATGGAAAATAAATAAAACGTTCTTGGTAGGCAGAGTAAGAGTTTCCTTTCCCATTTCATCCCCTCACCCACCAAAAGAGAAAAAAAAATAGAATCTTATTTTGATCCAAATTTTGTGACCCCAAATATTAGGGTTCAATCCTTCTCCATTATTATTTTTCTGGTGGAAAACGCTGAGAAAATATCGGACGGGAAGGGAAGAAGAGATTTCGGCTCCAAGCGCTTGGAATATAAAACAAAGTAAAATATCCCTTAAAAAGGTTTTAATTTGTAAAATAGAGCCATCAACAACTTTATACCGTTTGTAGAAGCGTTCCAGGAATGGGGGGGG